TAAATGTATCGGCCTCGAACAACGTTCGTTAAATAATTGAATCTTTAACGTATGCCTCATGTTTCATTCCTCGCTCGATACTCCCTCTTACTCTTCCCTCTCCCCCTACTTTTCGAAATGAACACCGCTACGTGTCAACCGCTATTCCCTCCTCCTCCCCCACCTCCCCCAGGAGGGAAATACGCGTGCGTATTCAGAAGCGAACGCGACAAGCCGAAGGGAGGCAAGCTAAACGACCTGGTTAAACGCGAATAAAACGAGAGAGAGAAAGAGGCGCGCACATACACGAAGCTGGTTCACGCGTGTAGAAGGCTTTTTTTAGGGATTAGGGATGTTTTCAAGAGGATACCGCCGCGTAATCCGGCGAAAGTAAAGCGCGATAAGAATATTCTCTCGAAATATTCTGTCTCTGTTTCGTACGTAACGAATCCATTTTTGAGAATTGAAAGAGTTGAAGAAAGTAATTCGTTCGATTATTGTTTCGATTATTTTCAGATTATCGCGATCTTTTAGAGAGGATATTTATTCTCGCGAATATTTATTCCCCCTCTTGCGGAAAATTCTTCGTTTTCTCCGACGATTGATTAGCATTAAATGAGAAAGAGAGAGAGAGAGAAATTTTCCGCTATTTGCAACGATCAATCAACTATACATCTTTCGCGTAAAATAACTTTACGTCTTCTTGAAAAATTTCATCCATCTCGCGGTACTCTCGACGGAAAATTCGTTCCCTCGATAAGCGAATCGATAATTGATTAGCAAGGAGCGGCCAGCAAAACCGACAGGCTCTTAATTATCGCGGAAGCAGAAAGCAAAAGAAAAGAAAAAAAAAGGAAAAAATGGAATGTATTCCGTGCGAAAAGCGATTCGAGCAACGGATTTGGGAAAGTTGGCCGTCCGGTCGAAGAAGGATTTAATTTCCGTCCCTCGATAGAAACGACACGAAGGGGATCTTAAACGAGCTCTCTTATCTCCTCTCTCTCTCTCTCTCTCTCTCTCTCTCTCTCTCTCTCTCTCGTTGCTCAAACTTTGAACTAGATCGGATGGATGGAAACCATTAGCTTCGTTCGACCGAATTATTACTCCAAAGACGATAATAAGCCCGACGAGTTGCTTCTTTCGAATTATAATCGGCATTAATTTTTTCCAAAGCAATAATCCGGATCTCTTTCGAATCTCGTATCTTTTCCCCTCCCTCCTCATTTCAACCGTATTATTTCATCGAGAAAAAGACTTAGCACGCGCTGACTCCTTAATAACCCAGATATTTATCACCTCGCATACATTAATCTTGGATTATTATTTAATGTACGTCGAGATTCATGCGGATGTGAACGCGCGCATGTACGTTTAAAAATTGTTATCCAAAGTGTGATGCAAGAAAAAAAGAATCGTTCTACACAATGGAAGATAGAAAGAAGAAAGAGGTAAAGTGTGTTAAGGTATAGCCAAGCTAGCTCAAACTTTGATTTCGTCCTTGAAAATCTTTTCCATTTTCCGTCTCTTTGCCGAGTTTTGTTGTAGAAAAAAAAAAAAAAAAAAAAAGGAAAAAGAAAAGAAAAAGATGGCGAAAAAAAGATTCGAAATGTTCGTAAAATATCGAACGTCGTCGGTTCAAAAGAATTCTTTCGAAAGAATTCGGTGGCTGAATCGTGGTCGTTTTTTCGCAAATGAAGAAGAAGAAACAAAAAAAAAAATCTCGTCTCGATATTACCTTGCTCCTATTCCTTGGTCCTCCGAAATCCTCCTTGCTGGTCTTCCGCCTCTTGTCTTTCAGGATCATTCTCGCCGCAGCGAACGCCATCGTGTCCACGCACTTTCCCCTCGTTCGATCAGCTTCGAGATTCGAGCACGACTTTTCTTTTTTCTTCTTTTTTTTTTTTTTTTCGATAGACACAAACCACAGCCGAGCGAAATATAAACACGATTCTCTTACGGATATACTTACGAATACGAATTTGAGATTCTTTTTTCTCTTTTTTTTTTTTTTTTTTTTGGTATCCTTTTATTGCTTCTCGATCACACGGATTATCGTTGATATTATCGAAGTATTTGGAAGTTGTTTTACAGCTACGATACGTATCGATACGATTGACATACGACGAGTGTGTGTGTGTGTGTGTGTGTTGAATTTTAATTGAATATCTTTTCTCTTCTTCTTCTTCTTCTTGCTACGTTTGTACTACGCGGATATATCTCGATGATTCCTCCTCTTCTCCCTCCCTCTTCTCCTCATATATCGGCTAGACTATAACTATATATTTGTATATATATATATATATATTGACCCTCGTCTCTTCTCGATNCGACGTCTCGCGCCGCTATCTCTGTTTCCTCTCGGCTCTCGTGGGCAGATTTCACGGAAGCTCGACGAGGACATTTGCCTGTCCCTGCCTGTCACCGTTATTTCCGCTCGATTCCTCCCTCGCCACTGTTCCTCCACGTGTGAACGCGAACGCCCCCCCTCTCTCTCTCCTCTCTCTCTCTTCCTTTTGTCTCTTTCCTTTTGCGGCTCTTTCCTCTTCTACGAACGACTACATTCCAGGCGATGCGAGCCGCAGCTGATGCGTCCTCATGGCTCGAAACGTTATCTGCGTAAGGTCGGTTAGTTGCTAGTTGATAGTTGTGGATCTAGTTAAAGAAAGGAGGAGGGGGAGGAGGAGGTTGGACTCGAGGAGAGAGAATGAAAAGGAAGGTGCACACCCTGCTTTCAACAATTATATAAACGGGCTATTCTCGTCTAAATTTATAAATCTTTCTTCGTTGAAGGCAACAATAACAACAACAACAACAACAGGAGTATTCCAAATTTTCTCTCCAGCGGCCTTCGATGGGACTCGAGGATCCGAAAGAGGCGCTCTTTTCCACCCTTGCGGATTCGTTGCGCGAGGGGGAGGGGAAGAAAGTGGTCGTAAAAAATGGCGCGAGAGTGGCGAGAAGTGGAAAGGTGGTAGTTCCTTTCCGAAACTTTTCTAATTAAATTCGCTCGCCTAACGCCTCGATAGATTTTGAAAAGAAACGCGACGAGAAAGGAAAAAGGAGGAAGAGGAGGAGGGGGGGGAGGAAGTGCCGAACGAGCCGCGCTTTTTCCCTCTCGAAAAAATCCCGCGGAGAGGAAAAAACGTGAGCGGCAGCCACTCAAGCGCGGCAAATCTTGCTCTCGGCTTTCACAGTCTTCCTCGATAAAAATGAAAAAGAAAAAAGAAAAAGGAAAGGGAGAAGAGAAGAAAAACTTGATTCAAAAAACCGCGCGACACCGCGCCCGAGTCATAAAATAATCCAATTTGCGCGTTAATAGCGGAGGTTTTAATTCTCCTCGACGAGGAGAGAGAAAGAGACACGCCAAAAGATTATCCTCCCCCCTTGTACCTCCCCCTTGTTTCCCTCGACACGTGTCACGAATAACGTCTCTCTTTTTAAACGATTCGCGGATTACGATTTCGAGATACGATCGCCCTCGCAACTTTCGCTTTGATTAGAACGAGAATCTAAAGAACTCTGTTTACGTTCAATTAAATCGTGAAAAACAACGTGGAGGAACGGATTTTCTTTTTTTGTAGAAAAGAAGTAACGAAGAAGAGGAACGACGAAACTGAATAATAAGAAATTTTCTCGTGAATATTCCACGAATATAATTGACGGCAGTAAATGCGAATTAAAAGAAGCGAGCACCGTCGAGCCATATTTTCGCTAAAATTCGAATATTCGACGTAGTCTTTAAACGCTTAAGCGATGCAAATATTGATCCGACTTTAAATAAAAAAAAAATTGCATTCTTGCAAAAAAATCTGGAGGAGGAAATTCGAATCATTTCACCTTGGAAATTTCGCTCGATATTTTTGCCAAGAAATAAAAATTAACACGTTGGATAACGAGGCGCGATAGTATCGTGGATTGATGCGAAATAACGAGTTTTATATGATATAAATACGTCAAGCTAAGGATGGAATGGCGTTCCAATAACAAACGAGAATCGCGAAACGGCCTTTTACGATTAATAACGAGACCGAGCGAGGAAAGGGGGAGAGCGTTGGAATAATAAAAGCCTCGGTTAAAAATTCTGTCTATCGGTGTCTAAAACTCCCTTAACACGTGCGGTATCGTCTCGATCCGATTGATCGATCTTTTTGGAGGAAGCTACGAAGCGTCACACTATATCCTGTTCCAATGCGTCGCCGAATTTTTCTACGGAATTCTGCGAAATAAAAACGAAATAATAATTCACGTAGTCACGGTTTTACTCGGCTCTCGTGTTACGGTTAAATAAATTATGCCCCCCTTATCGATTGTGCCGTTGTAATCTAAAATCAGACAACGTGTTTCCGCGAATCGTATCTGATTCGATTTCCGTCACCGGGTGACGCATCGGTGTCGATAATGTGTGTGTGTGTGTTCGTTTCATATATGAAAAAAAAAAAAA